CGATGGTTGTACATTACTCGAATTCGGGACAATGGTATTCTTGAGTAATTCTTGAGTAAGCAGCACAACCAGAAGGAATTTGAGTTACCTTCCTTTCGTGGTGCAATTACTACTACAAACCAGCCACTTTGTGTAGAAATAACTAGTTGAGCCGTACCCTTCCTCGTCATTGACTTTATATTACCTTTTAGAATGGTTGCTAGAAATTTCAGGTGTCTGTATGACATACAACACCAAAGGGCCACTCATGTCAGTATCAGCTCGAAACGAGGGTTGGTTTTTTGTAGTTTTTCTCTTTTTTCTAACTTTTTTCCTTTCACTATTTCAAACGTTCTCAAAGTTCTTTTTCAGCTGTCAAAATTAAATCACGTACTTCACAGTATCGTCACAGAAGGTCAGCGCTATCAGAAATCGCCTTTATCCCTGATTCAGTCCTTACACCCGAGTCTAGTCAGCAGCAAGGTTAGGTTTCATTGATTTGAGTAGATATTTCGGACTCGTTCTTCAAGTAAGAGCTACTACAAATTAGGCTTAGTATCTGTTCAACTGAACTTCAACTTTACTTTATAGATGAACTGTGCTCTTTCGAAAATACTATGACAATCACAAATGAGAGGAAACGCCTTCGTGATTATAATGATACTATGGATATCGATGATGGGATCAGCAAGTTAGTTTAGGCTCTAACTGTAGCCTCATTTGAGGCCCACTCTAACAAAATGATTGCATTCCAGAATTCGAATGAAACCTGATATTCTTACATTTTATCGCACACCGGGAGCTTTCAAGTTTTGCCGTCGGATAAGCAGTGGTCCTCCGATTGGTAAGAAGAAGCTCGAGAAGCCTTTTACACTTCCTTTATGACATCACGGCTTTTTTTAGATTACTTTCACACCAGCAATCGTGGGTCACCGGTTCCCGAAAATGTTTTGTTGGAGATCCTATCCTTTTTAAACAAGAGGGACTTATGCAACGCTATGGCTACATGTAGACTTCTTTATGTAGCCGGGTATGTTAAGCATTTGTCACCATTTTAATGACTCCTCGGAGCTAAATCAACTAAGTAATCGACTAATTAACAAAATAAAATAATTTAACGTCTCAAATGGTCGTGTGAGATCTCCAGCGATTGGATACCTAAAAGGTAAGAGTTGAATTTGTATGAAGAAATCGTCCACAAATCTTTACATTGATCGACTTTTTACCTACTCTTCAGAACTACTTGTTGAGGGCTTCTTGTGCAGTTACTAACTTTTTTAAGCTCGCACTGTCGATCCTGGGAGTACGTGGATTTGTTCAACCGTACAGTCTTCAACCATTCTCTGATATGCTTCCTCAATAGACGGCTGAAAGTAATGAGAATGGCGGACACCAATGTCAGTTTTGCATTTTTTTTTCCACAACATCCATTTAAACGGTTTCGTTGTGATTGAAAAGATGCTCATAAATAGCGTACACAATTTTATGTCGTACCGCATTGTACGAGACCTGTGTTCTCTCGTACAACTCGTTGCATCTCATTGAGGGGCGTTTCTGTCGTGACGACGCTACGTGCCCAATGGCCGCTTTCAGACTTCGACGACCGTCCGTCCGTCCATCCGTCCGTCCGACGCGTGCGTGCTGCGACGACGGTCGCTAGAGTAGTGTTGACAGCGCTGGCACGTGACCTAGTGCTGTCAACAACGGTCAGGCGCCGCCGTCGCAGCACGCACGCGTCGGACGGACGGACGGACGGTCGGATGAATCGTTGAGGTCTGAAAGCAGCCATTGCGGATCTGTTGGTTATGTGTTGTGCCCAAAATTGCTATGAAGCGAAATTTCTTGGGAAAGATTCTTTCCTCCGGTATTGGTCTGGCAACCATAAAAGGGGTTATTGTATTGGGACATCAAATGTGAAAGTGGCTATATATTGATCTCAATTGAAAATGAAAGCTAAGTCTTATTGTTAGTTATCGATAGTGTCTGTTGTGTATTGTCCTAATTTATTGCGCACATTACGCCGAAGGTTCGCCACGATTTTCTGACGGCATTGGATTTGAAACTTCACGATTATTTCTGAAATGACAAGAAAGGCCCCTGTCGAGACTCATCATCCGCATGTTAGCCGGAATATGTACAGTAGCGCTCAAATCTTGAACTAAATGCTTCTTCGTTCTTAACTTTCTTAACTTTTCTCCTAATGAAGCAAATCATGCGAAATTTTAGTACTCTTGACTAAAGCATATTTCGTACTGCTCAGCGCTAATTGACTGCAAAGCAGCAATATTCACATAAGTAAGAGCAAGATGTTTGTTGCGATAGTAGATTTCGCTGAAAGCAAGGTTGAAGACGTCTGCAATCATTTGCACTTTATGTGCGTCTTTTTCTTTTACGGTATTCGGCATTAGCGCTCGTACACTTTAGACCTGGCAAAGAGGGAAGAGATCCCAGAAGCACCAATATCCGCATTTCCTGTTTCTTTTGAGTACACGCTCTTTGAGATATTTGAAAGCGACCAGATTGCAGGTTAACCCTTTGTCTCTACCAATGCCGATTTCGACGTGATGCGCCCACGGGATCACGCCACTTCCTTTCATGACGACTGACACCCACCGGTGGGTGCCATGGTCCTTAATAAACTTAGCAATATTTTCGCATAACAGAAGCATCAGATCTTGTTTTATCTTGTATTGAACTGAGACTTAGAATTGCGCCTCGGGCTTGGAAGCAATGTAGGCTAGAATTTTAGTGATAGTCGCGCGGTCACATAATCGCAGATCGAGTATTCTAGGTGCTGTCTCCAATGCTTCCAGGACACACACAAATCTCGCCAAAGTATCTAAACCTTTCCAGTACTACTCAGTTGACTATATATTTGAACTAAATAAGCTCCTATAAAACATTCATGTGGACCATGTTGCATATAAACCATAAAGTTTGTTAATAAATACGAAAATATTAAATAAGCCTCAATTGTGTAAACAAAGGGAAAAACATGGTGGCACCCAAATTGGGTGCCATGGTCCCATGCTCTAGTCATAGTGGCACCCACCGGCGGGTGCCATGGTCGCCATGATCAGATCCAGTAGCAAAGGGAATACGATGAAGTACAATAAGTGGTTTCCTCTTGCGTAAGTCGTACCGCGGCATCCTATGTGACTGGCTGATGTCTGTAAAAGAATCAGGCTGGGGTAGCTTCTATGTTACGTACTCTGAGTCGCGTTTTTCTGCTTCCGCGGTCTGTTTCATCAGTTCTGAGAGGTCACGCCCAGTTCAAGAGGAGTTAGCAGATTGATTGGTCTGCGAATAAGCTGGGAAGGTAGTCTGATTGTCAGTTGTTTTCAAATCTTGGTCACTAATGTGGAGAGGTTGCTCGCCCAAAAAATGTGTGATCCGCCACGCGGATATCCTCTAAATGGCTAGAGTGCA